ATCAATCATAACTATAAAAAGAATGATAAGTTTTTTAATTTTGTTGAACAAACTCCAAGTTTCATCATAGTGAAAGTAAGAAAATTTTGAAAAATCAATCTTAATTTCAATCTTTAAATCTTAAATCTTTAAATCACCATTTAAACTGCATAAATGAGACAACTAAAAGAAAACATTTAACCATTAGTAAGATATATTAATCTAATACAATTCTTTTCTTTTATCAATCATAACTATAAAAAGAATGATAAGTTTTTTAATTTTGTTGAACAAACTCCAAGTTTCATCATAGTGAAAGTAAGAAAATTTTGAAAAATTATTTTTTACTACATTGATTACATCATACAATTTCTCAATGCAAACTTAATTAAACAATGTAATCCTAACTACTGCACTATTCATGGGCTACAACAATACTAATTAAAGAAATAAATATAGGACTTTAAGCTTTCATCTAATAATAATAAAATTAAAATAAATTAATTTAAATAACTTGAAAAATTCTACAGAAGAAAGTTTTAAACTCTAAGTATTATTATTATTATTATTGAAATGTTGATTTAACCATCTATCACTAGTCCAAATTTATTTGTATCAGTATTTTATGTAATCGGAAAATAGCCAGTAATTATGTTTACACTATACAATTTGAGCTTACAAGGAAAGATTTGATGTGGTACTTAGGAATTTCAATAAAACTATTTGTATGGTTAAGCCTTATTAATAAAGGAAGAAAGCATATTTCTGACATTTTCAAGAAAATCAAAGTTACAAACCCCAAATGATTCATGAGTTAGCTTTGTGGAAATTTTCATTAAAGACCATGTAGTTCAACAGCAGCATACTTATCTCTCAGTTGCAAGATTGCTAGTTTATCTTGACAAGTAAATTTTTTCAAATGTGCATAAAAAAGTACTTTTAATACCAAAATACCATTTTCAAAAACCAGCATTTTGATGCCAAAGTTCTTAGCTTTTGCTGCCTCTTCCTCTCCTACTTCCTTTCAAATATCTTCATATAACAGTGGTAATATGTTTAACAAATGAAGAAGAAACCAGAATTAACTTGTCACAACTAAGTGATCAATGGCCGATGCTTATTAGTTAATTCAAAAGTTGATTCTTTCCACCAACAAACAATTTAGTTAGAGTGTATGTTGTTGATAGAGATCTTCAATTCATATTGCTAGATGCTTTTCCATTATTTTTCATTACATCATTCCTCAGTCATGTTAATTTCACTTCAGAATGGCATAGCCTAGTTTTAGCTTTGGCTTCCAAATCTGAGGCTTTCTTAACAGTTGTGTGAACTGTAGTCTCAGGAATGTTAAAGGCACAAAAAACATAAATTAAACATTCTCCTTTCAATTAATTATGTGTATTTTAATGTTTAGACCATATGAAGCATGTTTCCTTTTAGGAACTCCATCATCAGTTTTGCTAAGCTTTGTTGACTTAATTTCAATAAGAAAATGAAACAAAAAACCAGCCAGAACTAAAACTGAAATGATAAACACATGTGCAAAAGTGAATTTTATGTACGGTGATATGTATCAATGCACATGTAAATCACATGGTGAGGAAGTTACCACTGCCAGGAAAACCAGGAAAATTTGTGGAAATTTTTAAGTGGTGTTCTGCAATTTTTTGACCATGTAACTATGAGGAGTCAGATAATACTCATTAAACAAGGACTTCCAGTACGTACTGTACATATGATTAAATTCACTAAGATATAAAAAGAGGCTTAAAAAAATATATTCCATACAAATCTTTTATATTCATAATTTTCAATCTGAAATGGCCTTGACTATTCATTTTATCTGAGTTTTGAGGTAGCACTGGTCCACATGGCCTTGCATAATCAAAGTTCTATTGTAGTTCTTTGTCCCAGTGCATATTTATGATAAATGCTCATGGTGTAGTTTACGTATTGTCCAGACTTTGTTACTGCTTCATTTTTGTCTGTCTTCTTATTACTGAAATTAATTAATCATTCTTTTGCTTCAATTCAACTGTATATATTAATTTTCTTTAGGGATAAATAAGATACAGTACTCCAAACAATAGATATTTACTTACCTTCATGTGTTCACTGGAGAATATGTTAAATTATATGATAATATTATAAACAAACACTAGATACACAAATTCTGTGAAAACATAATTGCCAAAAAATTCCTAAACAGTTTATAGGCAGGAAGATATATTATAGGAAGAATCTTATGGAATACAAGCTTCCTATATAAAATAAAAACCGTATACAGAGTATATGGTTTTTATTCTTTCTAAAAAGAATAAAAACTATATACTCTGTAATTACCTGGTGTGTATAATATTCCCATCATAGATTAAACAGTCAACCAAAGTTTGGAGTATGCTGGTGATACTTCACTCTCTCTTAAGATCTGAGTTAGATTAGGGAACATGAGTATACAATTAGAAGCAAGCTACCTTCCACAGTTTGAGCAACTTATGCCATAGATGAATCAGTCATGTTGAACTGGCAAACATTGCCAAACTATTAACAGATAAACGCTCAAACACATGAAAGAACTGAAGATTTAAAAAGCAGGGAGGTCTATAAACTTAAAAGACCAGGATAATCTCTCCCAAGTGTGGGCATCATGGTTTGAGATCCCACAAAATAGAATATGTGTAGTAATTGTGTAATACTATAACGATATTTATATTATAATTTATTTACATTATTTTTAAATTGTATTTTAACTAATACCACTAATCAAAGCACAGCACTTGTTTTTTAAATGTTAGATTTTTAAGTGTGGTTCATGGTTTTATTTAAAGACATTCAATTATTGTAAAGCAGCCTGATGATGACAATTAAATATGGTCTAAAACATTCACTGATGTGCATTAAAGTGCTTGCTGATTTTAAAGTGTAAGTGTATTCTTAATAATAAGCCAAACAATTGTAATAATGGATTGGACTAATTTTCCACTACTATTAACAATTAAATTCTAAGTAACTTCATACTAGAGATAAATGTTATTTAATAACATTATTAAATAAGTCCTACCTCTAGCACCAAATTACTTAGAATTTAATTGTTAATAGTAGTGGTAAAGTAGTCCGATTCATTACAGCAAACATTTGGATTATTATTAAAAACATTGGGCTTTGAGATGTTTATATATGTAACTGTATTCTTGTTTCTGGTGAAACTTTATTGAATTGAAATGGTACATTTTAATAGTATAGATAAAAATTTATACAGTATACATTTTAAGTTAACTACTTATGAGTAAATGATATGAGCTTAAAATTTGTATAAATTACTTTTACAAAAAATTCAATTTATAATATTTAGTCCCTTCAACATTGATTTATAAGTTACTATTAAACATATGTAACTGTATTCTTGTTTCTGGTGAAACTTTATTGAATTGAAATGGTACATTTTAATAGTATAGATAAAAATTTATACAGTATACATTTTAAGTTAACTACTTATGAGTAAATGATATGAGCTTAAAATTTGTATAAATTACTTTTACAAAAAATTCAATTTATAATATTTAGTCCCTTCAACATTGATTTATAAGTTACTATTAAACATATTGCTAATATTAAATCATCATATTTAAATTATTAATAATAATTCATTTTTCTTAGCATTAATCATAAAATTTATAATAGTCAATAAAAATATTTTGTACCTTGCTGTGTCTCAATCTCTCCCAATTCTATTTGACGATGAGTCTTTATTACATCAAATGGCAGTGTTAAAACTGCAGCAACCTGAAAATATTTTAAATTAATACATATTCATTTATTCTAAAATATTAACTTTAACCAAATAATTATAATTCAATATCTTTAAAAAATCAAAATACTGGAAATAATATTTGTAGATATTTTCTATATGAAATTCACATTTAAACTATATTTGTTGTTTATTTGTTACTCATTAATTTATATATCCATCATGAAATACAATTTCTGTTTTTCAGCAATAAAACTTAAAAATATTTTATTCATTTTAAAAGTTAAGGTTTTAAAATAAAGATATGCAAAATAAGTATTTATTAGTATAAATGCTTATTTAAATAACAACAACACACATTAAAATTTGTAAGTAATTGACTAATGTTAATTCTTATTTGTATGTTTTTGTATTTACCATCATCAAAAACTGGAGATTTTGCATTTTGTTAGTTTTATATTGAAAATTTTTAAAGAATTATTTTATCAAATATAATCAAAGTTTATATTAACAAATCTGTTGGTATATAATATGTAGAATTCTACATTTAAAATAAAATTTCTTTCTTTTTTATAATATAATTATTAAACATTAAATATCTTTTTTTAGCAAAAAAACTTCTCTTCAAACAAACAAAAAACAGCTCATAAATTTCACATGCTCTAGGATACTTCACAGTTTGTACTCTTATTAAACAGTCAAAAGTTTTGAAAGTAAACTTAAGTAAAATATAAAAAGTAAATCACAGGAAAATAAGTACTCTCACAACCTATAGCCTTTTTCCAATAAGATGTAAGTTTGTAAAAACATTCCAGTAGCAATTCCAATCTTTAGTAACAAAAAAAGCTGCCAATTCTGTTTTCATTTTCAGTGCTTCTCAAGTTCAAGCTCTTACTTATGACATGGTTGTAGAATCAAATAAATAATGTTAGTTGGATAGTATGATGTCATAAACTTTGACTCAGAAAATAGTAATTACTAATCAAAAAGTACATATAATACATACTGCACCAGAACTGGCTCCTGCTGCAAAACTGAACCAAAATGTTGGTTGTTCTTGTTGAAATTTCTGTTTTAATGTTTCATATGAAGCCCAATATATAGCTGCAGGATAAAATTTAATTTAGCATTAACTATAACAATATATTACAATTCTAACTACATAAAAATGAAAAGCAAAGCATTACAAAAAACATTTTTGATGTATAACCCATATTATAATCTAAGTTATGCATATGTGACATGACTCTTCAACAATGAAAAATAACTGTATAAAATAATTTTCTTATTGACTTCATTAAATGCTCTCATTCATTTAAAATAAAGTTCACATTACAAAAACTTATAAATTAATGCAATAAATTTATATCATATAAATTGTCTATTATAAAAATTCTAATAATTCAAAACTACAAACTTAACAAAAAAAATTACACATTTCATTGCAATTTTGTAAAATAAATGTTTAATAGTTATTTCAACCAAAAAACAATTGATATGAACAACAATTATAATGAATGAAAATGGTAACTGATCTTTAATATATTAACAACAACAAAGGTCATGAAATTTTTAAAGTTACTCTGATCTGAAAATGAAAAACATCAAATTTTCAGAAGTGTTTATGAATTAAAAATAGTTCTGATTTGTAATTTGTTTTGTTTTAGTTTAGATAAATTCAGAATAAACTTGTTTGGCAGATAATTCTAAACCTATTAATTGCTATTAATAGCATGAGCTGAGCTTATAGGAAACATGAGCTAACCAGTGATAATAGAATTTTAAATCATATGTAAAATGAACTATACTTAAAAATCCTATTAATATAAAATACCTAAAATTTTGTATAAATTATAATTTACAGTTTTGATACATCCCATTAAAAAAGTTTACTAACACTTTTTTTTGTAAATAATCATCCTTTTGCAACAAGCTTAAACATAGTATGATTAATAGTTATTATTACTTCATCCTAATAAGCTAAAAACTCATTGTTCTTTTGTCTATCTGCAATAACCTTAAGTTCTCCACAGTAAGCATTTTTATTTCTTACTCAAAGTTTAACAAGTACAGTACATGTTAACAAGCCTTTTCAGTATTGCTTTTGTTTCACTTATTTTGTTATTCCATCTACAACAAAGTATAATAAAAAATCAGTATTTTAATGTTTGAGAAGATACTTCTACACTGCATACCAGTAAGTGCCATGCTATTATATCTACTCCAGAGGCATGGAGTATGTTTAAAGTGACCAGATTTTCTATATTTAAAATCAGTACTTTTTTTATTTCTCATGTCTACAAAAAACTAAGTTTCAATATATTTTGGTAATTTATATATTTATGTATGTTATAGAAATTTTCAAACATTATTATTTACATTAAATATTAAACATTGTTCCTAATATCGCTTCTCTCTGGTTAAGTTTTTCATGTTTTTCTTTTATACTATTAACCGAAATATGATCCATAATCGCTTTAAAGGAAACTTAGTAACTTTTATTTGGTAATGGTGGATTGTATTAATGTTTAGCTATTGTAGTATGTTATTTATTTTTTACACTTATGTATCATTTACGATTTAATTTTTATTCTAATTAGTTGATATGTTATCAGTTTTTTGGTATTTTTGAATTTTGAAGGTGATGTTCCATTTATGATGTATTCCATTTTTGTATGTTCTAACCTGATGATGATCTATTGAGATCAAAAACGCTTGTTTTTAATAAACTCCCTCAGCAACGAATAAGGTGTTAGTTACTTGATTCATACCAGTGTTTCTCAACGGGGGCGATATTGCCCCCATGTGGGCGTTTTTTCATGTTCAGGGGCGATTAGTAACAATTTATATTTTGGGGGCGAAAAACAATTTTCTGGGCGATATAGTAAAACATTATATTAAGAATAATTAGATATATTATTTGTAACATCTTACAATAATTAAACAAATAACATTATACTAGTCACAAGTCTATTCAATGCAATATGAATTTGGCGTTAGCCTTGTCTCTCGGCATCAGAATTTTGTAGTGAAGGGGGCAATACTACGTAACGGTTTTATTAAAGGGGGTGACGATTCGTTAGAGGTTGAGAAACATTGATTTATACTATTAACTTTTATTTCTTAGCAGAGTTGTACATTTATTTATTTTTTTGTATGAAAAATAAATGTACAACTTGAAATTTTTTTACTACATATTTATTTACTTCTTAAAATTTTATTTTAAATTATTTAATTTTATAAAATATGACACTGTAGTAGTTCGTCTTCATATTGAGGTTGGATAAATACAAGGATGATCACAGCTGTAGAACCTGTGTAGATGTCAAGTGGAAAAACAAAAAAATATTATATAATCAGAAAGGTTGGCATTGTTATCCAAACTAAAATCTTTCAAATAAAGCCTTGTAAAGAATGACATAAAAACAAAAAATAGGATTTGTTTTTGTTTTTTTGTGCTTCTAATTTTTCCAACTTTTATTGGTTAAAAAAAGTAAATAATGAATGGCTAATTTTTATTCTAGTTGTAGTAGAGAATTTATTTATGAATCAAATGAGTCTTAGTTTAAAAATATCATTCCATTCATAAAACTCCCCTTGCTCATAGCCATCATAGGTGCAAGAAATATAATGCTTGTTAGGGGGAACTACTCAGCATTATTTTTTTTCAAATCAGAACACAATCTCTAAAATCAATACATCTGGTCATTTTAAGTGTATGTAGACAAACTCAATTTTGCAAGACAAACACAGAAATAAATCGCAGAAATTTATACTGTCTATTTAATTAATTATTTTAAAAAATTTAAGTTGTAAATTACTTATTATGTGGCCTTTTTAATTTGTTTCTAGAAACAGAAACATATGACCGGTCAGTGCAAGAAATTATGAAAAAGCATAGAATATGTAAGATTTTCTCTTATTCTTCAGTATCACAAACAATAAAATTAAATAGAATTTGATGGCTATTCTGTTTAATTTATTGTAAGTATTGTCAAATCTGAGACTAACACTATTATACATCATTAGAAAGAAACTGTTTAGAATTCAAGTAATTAGTTATATGTAGAAATAGATAGTTAAAAAAAATATGCTACATTATCAAATCACACAGAATAAAATTATTGCATTAATTTATAATCTTATCTTTATTCAGAAATAATTTCTTAATGTATTCTTTTTATTATGTTTTGAACATTATAATGAAAATCAATAAGTCTAGAACCAAAATTGATTAAAATTTAATGAAGTCAGTTTAGTTTGTAAATCACAGGAACACCCCCACACTGGATTTGCCCCCTTTGTGGATCAGCTTGTACAGTTATATAANGTATAAAAGTAAACATTGCATTATTTTATACAGTTCTGAAAGAAAAAAAATGATAAATATTAAATTATAATTTTATGTAATGTAATTAAAACATATAATCATCTACATAAATAAAGTAAAGAAATCAGTTACAATTCCAGCATATTAATCTATTAATTTATAACTGTAAAAATTGCTTATTAAAAAATTCAGAATGAATAACATGTTATACATTGTAACACATTTTTCATTTTTAGTAATTTAACAAATTCATTTGGGATTACAAATAACAAATGTATTAGAAAGTTTTCTCTAAACTATGATAAATCTAAATCTGATTATATAATTATCAGCAGATAAAAAGTTGATAAACAATTTTCATTTTTTTTTATCCAGAAATATTTCAAGTACAATTAATTTTGCAATGCTATAGAAATTAATGCTAAGGAACTGACAGAGTTATTATATATTATAAATCTAAACTACTGGATGTTTCCTTTCATTAATACCCTAACAGCAAAATAGCAGAGTTTTTGGTTATTGTTTAAAATATACTTTTAATAAGAAAAAATTTTGAAATCTTAATATTTTGTAATATATTTTCAAATTTCTTTTATTATTTGAAATTAATGAATGGCAATAATTTTTGCAGGACAGACCTAATTCAAAAATAATATTTGATATATTTACCCTATTCAATTTTGAGCTCTTAGTTCAATTCAATACATATTGCATTAATAAATATGAAAGATAGTAGTATAAGACTGATTTAAATGTTAAAAGTAAGTATTTTAGGTTAATATACTAGATAAAAAGCCCTGAAGTTTCTCCTCTTGCATTGGATATATGCAAAAGAGTAGATAATTCAAATGTGCATTTTTATATTTTAAATATAAGTAGGAATTAAAGGAATATCTTGCTTTAAAGTGTTTTGCATTAGTGTGCCTCACTAATATAGTGCTTTTCAATTATATTCAATGTTTATTATTTTCAGTATTTATCTTACTCTTAAAGAGTTTTCAGTGTTTTTTATTTTTACTTTTTTAGGTCTAGTACTATTGCTCACTAAATAAATGATAGTATAAATATGTTTATAGGCTTTTATGTAGGCTGTTTTTTTTTTCTAGCTCTGATGGTCCATAAAACAAAGATAAGTGTAAATAACAAAATGAATTTATTACAAAAAGTTAGGTACAAACATGGTTACTTTTAGACATAATCACTGTGAAGATTGAGGCATTTGTAATATCTGTGGACGAGCTTTTCCATCCCCTTGTCATAGAATGTTGCCACCAGTGACTTCAGATGGGCCCTAGTATTGTTTTGAAGATCATCATTAGTCTCAAAACCCTGCCCTCCTAGTCACTTTTTCTGTTCAGGAAAAAGGTGAAAGTTGCTTGGCGCTAAATCAGGTCTATACTCTGGGAGTTTAAAGGTGGTGAAGACTTCCACTCAGCTTGGAACTTTTTAATGTGTGAAGACTTCCAACTCTTTCCTGAACTGGAAATGTGGCTAGCAGGGCAGAGGTTTGAGATTAATGACAATCTTCAAAACAACATTGTTAAGGCAATCTCAAACTAGCAGCACACACTATGCACTAGCATAGTGTGTGCTGCTATGTGTTGCTGCTAGTGAAGATAGTGCACACTATGCACTATCTTCACTAGCAGCAACATTCTATGACAAGGGGATGGAAAAGCTCGTCCACAGATATGACAAATGCCTCAATCTTCACATTGATTATGTCTAAAAGTAACCATGTTTGTACCTAACTTTTGGTACTAAATTCATTTTG